CTCCAGAAAAATGGGAGCAATGCCTTTGCCTCTACATTTAACTCCTATATGATAAAAATAAAATAAAAATATCCTCTATAAGAAATATCCTTGTCTTTTCTTTCTGTTTGTCTTTTATGTTGATTCAGCTAAAATAAAGCACTTTTATGAGAATGAGAGTATTGGTAGTTGGGGAATAATTGAGAAGAAACTCTTGGAGGCTCTACAAGATAAAGTGGCTCCAATAGAGCAGTTCCTTCTAGGAAGAAAAAGTAGGTTCTTGAATTGGACAATGTCTTTATTTTTTATCTTTTTATTTCCTTATTGATTATGGTATTACATATGTGTCCTTATTCCTCCATTACCCCCCAAACCCCCATCCATCCCCTTACCCCACTGTGTCTGTGTCCGTTGATTAGGCTTATATGCATGCATATAAATCCTTTGGTTGATCTCTCCCTCTTACCCCCACCCTCAAAGGGACGGGATAGAGGAACTCTTAAGACATACAATACAATGATCGATTGTGAGTAGGGCATGCTAGGACTTGGTATGTGTCTCATGTATGTTATTATTTGTTTAAATTAATAATAGACCTCTTTTAAAGCTATAGTTCACTTCCATTTCACATAAGAAACATTTTTATCAGCTGTAATGCTGTGAAGTTGGAGCTTCCCACAGATCCAGTCAAGGGCCATGCTATAAAATTTCCCTGAGTGTCTTCAATGGTAATAATGGAAGAGACTTACCGCCTTGGTTTGAATCTGTTTCACATCACTACTTAAAGGAATATATTTCTAATTCCATTAAACCTTTAATGGTGATGAAAGTTCATTTATGTGGAAAAATGATAAATCCAGGAGCCATCATGCTAGGCCTAAGTAACGGATGTAAAATCTGCCCTTTAAATACAATGCGGTGGTATAAAATTAGAGAAGCTATGAGAGACACTGGTAAAATCAGGAATAGATGCAATTGTTAGACACAAACAAACAAACAAATAAAATAAAAAACCCAGTCCAGTTTTTTTTTTCCCCCCACAGGAGAGGGACATAAAAATAGGTAATTTGTGGGAAACTGATCCACATGTGGTTATATAATTTAAAACATAGCATCTAATTTAAGTATAGCTATAGGGGTTTGCTGTGATTAGAGTGAAGTTATAGGTAAAGGATTAAACTTGCAGACACAATGAAACTAAGAAAAAATAAGCCAGGGACCATTGAAGCAAATATTCTGTAGGACTTAAAACATAGAAAAATAGAAAATGGAGAAATCACAACAAAAAGCCAGATTTCCTTCCTGGTGAATGAAAAAAAGAAAATCTTTTGACAAAACAGAAAATGCCTAGACGTCTCTTGTTTGGATCTTGCTCTGCTCACAACCACTTTTGTAGAAATCACTTCAAATTCCTGTACCCTAAAGGAGTTCATCTCCATCAAATAAAAAGTGTATGAAATGTTAAAGGGTCTTATTGAGAAGAATAAGAAATCAAAAACATGAACAATAAACTGGCAAAAAAATATGTTTCTATCAACAATTGAATCTATAAACAGAATGAACAAGCAAAATAGATAACAGAGAAATTTTTGTTGGCTGCCAAATGGGAGGGAAGTTGGGGGCCTAAAAGGTGAAGGGATTAAGAAGTACAAATAGTCAATAATATTCAATTACTAGGCACTGTGTTGGAAGGGTGTGGGATTTATTGGGATGATCACATATTAAATTATATAATGTCTGGTCACTGGGGAGTACAAACTTTTTTTTTTAATTAAAAAAATTCTGTACTCAGGTCCTTGGCATAGAAATGAAGAGCCAGGGCTTTTGAATGTAATGAACAAAGATCACATTACATCCTTATTGACTTGCAAAGTATTATTTAAAATGTCTTGGTTTGTAAAATGGTATAATGACTCTAATTTCACAAATACATTTCAAGTTCTCAAGGAGGTATTTATAGGCTGCATTGCCTGTCATTTTTGAAAGGTAGTGGTGATAGTTTATACCAGGGGATGGGGAACATCCTTTCTGCAGGCCACATAAGGCCCCAGAAATCATTTGGTCTGGCTCTGCCAAGCTTTAGAGGGTGAGTAAAATAAATGTTTCACCAAATATAGCAGGATAATTTTTAATTAATAATTTGTATGGCCCACAAATAGTGTTATAACTACCCAAATGGCCCTTGGCAGAAAAAAAGGCCCCAGGTGTTACAATGTGTGCCTCTAAGCCTTGTTTCACTGTGTATTCTTAACCTGGTTGTATTTTATCTGAGCTCAAGACCCATAAATCTAACTATGTGCTTAATATCCAATTTTGAATTGTTCTGGAGAGCATAAAATACAGTATGTCCAAGAATGAACCCCTGATCTTTTGCTAACTTATTCCTGCTAACTTAGCCTTCTTCTTATGTACCTCGCCTCAGCAACCAATACATCATTCATTACCTAAGCCTGAAAATACAGATGGCATTTTTTATTTCACTCCCCTACTACAATAATATCAGATTTGTCTCTTACTTATTCTACCCCTAAAATCCATTTATACATTGAAGCCAGAATAATTGTTTTCTTTGTTTGTAATCCTCACCTGAGGATATGTTTTGCATTGATGACGAGAGAGAGAGAGAGAGAGAGAGAGAGAGAGAGAGAGAGAGAGAGAGAGAGAGAGAGAGAAAGGGAACGGGGGAGAGAATAAAAGAGAAAGAGGGAGAGAGAAATGTAAGAGAGAACCATAATCGGTTGCTTCCCATACTTGCTCTGACCAGGGACAGAACTCATAATCTGGGCATGTGCCCTGACCGGGATCAAAGAACGGATCCCTCATCTGAACAGGACAGTGCTCCAACCAACTAATCCACACCAGCCAGGGCCAGAATAATTCCTGAAAAATACAAATCAAATCATGCCACCCCTTTCCTTGAATTTTTTAAACTTGTTTCCTGACTTAAAGATAAAGAAAAATATTCTGTAACTGAATTTAAAGATCATTTATGGCTCCTCTGTACCCTTCTATAACATAATCTTCTCCCCTTATGACCTAATTATAGTCATGCTGTTCACCTTTTGATATAAAAAGCATGTAGTTTGAATTATTGTGTGTTTACTTTTATACATTTTAATATATATATATATATATATATATATTATTGATTTCAGAGAAGAAAGGAAAGAGAGAGAGAGATAGAAATATCAATGATGAAAGAGAATCATTGATCAGCTGCCCCCTACATCCCCCTTATTGGGATCTAGCCCACAACCCAGACATGTGCCCTGATTAGAAATTGAATTGTGACCTTCTGGTTCTTAGGGAGACACTCAACCACTGAGCCACACTGGTTGAGTTTGTCTGGTTACTTTTAATCAACATTATTTTATATACTTTATCTGTATTGCTGCATGTAAAGCAGCAATTTAAATTGCTGTATGACATTTCATTATCTTATATAATAAAAGGCTAATATGCAAATTGTCCCTTCTACCAGGAGTTCCACTGGGAGTTCAACTGGGAGTTTGACCAGGGGGCAGGACCAGCCTGCCAAATGCCTGCAGCCCCTCCCCCAGTTGTCCCCACCCCTTATCGCCTCCCCCATCCTGATCAGGGGCTGGACCAGCCCACCAACCACTCTAGGCCACTCCCCACAGCCAGCTCAGCTGATCGGCCCTGACTGATGGTTCAATATCTCTGGGGATTGAGCCCACAACCCAGGCATGTGCCCTGAACAGGAATTGAACTGTGACCTTTTGGTTCATAGGTCAACATTTAACCACTGAGATACTTCATCCAGGCTTTATATTATTTTCTCTTCATTTTGCCTTTTCATTTCAGTCTTTTATTTTGAATTGGTTTCCTCCTTCTTTCTTTTCTACATTATTTCTATTTTAGTTTTCCTTGAGAGCATAGCTGGAGAAATTTTGCACTGGAATTTTTTTCCCTGACCCCCATCAGGCTTCAGGCTTAATATGGCTGAATAAAGTAAACTGTTTCTTTCCTTTCCTTTCCTTTCCTTTCCTTTCCTTTCCTTTCCTTTCCTTTCCTTTCCTTTCCTTTCCTTTCCTTTCCTTTTCTTTCCTTTCCAATTTCCCTGCATTCTTACTTTAGCCAGATCATAAGTATTTTTAAAAATATATATTTTTAATTGATTTATGAGAGGAAGGAAGAGGGAGATAGAAACATCAAATATGAGAGAGAATCATTAATTGGATGCTTCCTACATGCCCTGCACTGGGGAGAGAGCCTGCAATCCAGGCATATGACCTGACTGAGAATCCTCCTGGTTCATAGGTTGATGCTCAACCACTAAGGCAAGCCAGCATCAGATCATAGTTTTAAACAGTTATGTTCTAAGTATCAGATATTTTTCTATATCTTTATTATATTTGCCCCATTATTATTCATGTTCCCAAATCTATTTAGTAGTTGGGAGAGAAGCAATGTTTATCATTTTCCATTATTTTAATGGGCATTCATTTTAAGGAAGAAAATGAAGAGAAAAAAGAGAGAGTGTGTGTGTGTGTGTGTGTGTTTTAACTGTATTTGCCTAAGTAGTAGAAAAAAAGGCAAATTAAAATTATGGCAAAATATTTATCATTTCACCCACTTAGAAATAACTCTAGAGACAAAGAAAAGCTCCATTCTAAAGAGTCTACTTGATTGAAAGTTTGCTTCCTAGGACTTAGTTTTCTTATCTACAAAATGAAAGAACTGGATGAATTAAACACTAAGATACACCCCACCATATCAGACTAAAACATTTATGCATGAATGAGACAAGGAGTAAATTTGTAGAAGGCTAAGAGTCAAGATACACAAGACCTAGAAGGCGAGGTGAAGGGACTTGAGAATAAGGGTGGATCCCACATTCTCACAAACCAATGAAATTCTGAGTATACTGGGCGAATCTGATCACGGGAGCTGGGAGGAGAGGGGCCAGGGCTGGCCATAAAAGCAAGAGCAGTGTTAGCTGGTGCTTACACTTGCTTCTGACACAACCGTGTTCACTAGCAACTACACAAACAGCCACCATGGTGCATCTGACCGCTGATGAGAAGAATGCCGTTACTGGCCTGTGGAGCAAGGTGAAAGTGGATGACGTTGGTGGTGAGGCCCTGGGCAGGTGAGTTTCCAGGCATAAGGAGGGTGAGGGAAGCTGAGTGTGTGAGTTTCTGACAGGCACTGACTCCCTCTGGCCTCTGTGCTGCGATCACCCCTCAGGCTGCTGGTGGTCTACCCCTGGACTCAGAGGTTCTTTGACTCCTTTGGGGACCTGTCCAATGCCGACGCTGTGATGGGCAACGCTAAGGTGAAGGCCCATGGCAAGAAAGTGCTGGACGCCTTCGCTGAGGGTCTGAAGAATGTTGACAACCTCAAGGGCACCTTTGCTAAGCTGAGTGAGCTGCATTGTGACAAGCTGCACGTGGATCCTGAGAACTTCAGGGTGAGTCTAGGAGATGTTCTACTTTTTGCTTTCCACCTTCTTGCTTTCACTCTCGTTCTTTATCTAACCGTTCTTCCAGGATTCTTTTAATTTACCATATTTCATTATTTAATACTTTTCAAAATGTATATAGTTTTATATTTTTTTCTTTCAATATTATATTGTTTATATCTGCATAGGGTATTTAACAACCATGGACTCACAAACATTTTTTTAATCATGCTGCTTGTCTTATTTTTTCACCTCTTTCTCTTTTCCCACCCCAATTTCATTTTCCCTAGCCAGTACTCAAATTCTATAAACTATCTTTCACCTGCTGCCTCTACATTTAGAAAATTCCTCCAGAAGGGGGATGAAAAGACTCATCTTCCCTCGATGTGGAGTGATGACTTTTATTATTATCCTAGAGGCTATAAATAAATAATTTTAAGATTGAAAAGTAGTCTGAACTTTACAGCATTTATACTCAATGGAAAGGAAAAGAAAGTCAATATTTGAAGGTGAAAAGACCAGAAGTAGGAAGTAGGGCAGTTTAGTTGCTGAAGACAGTACATCATCTCACTGATTAATCAATTACTAATGTATATAATATTTATCATAAATAAATATATATGCATTTATTTATATAATATAAGCATGCAAATATTTACTCATTATGCTGGCGGGCTAAGTGTAGGCAGAAACAGTTATTATTGGCCTACTTTCCCCAAAGCAAGCTATTAACCATTGTGTGTGTCTTCCCTACAGCTCCTGGGCAACGTGCTGGTGGTTGTGCTGGCTCGCCACTTTGGCAAAGAATTTAACCCTCAGGTGCAGGGTGCCTTCCAGAAGCTGACTCTTGGTGTGGCCACTGCCCTGGCTCACAAGTACCATTGATTTCTGGCCTGTGTCTTAGTGATCTTTGGAAAACTCCATTTCTTCAGGTCCTTATTTCTTAACTTGGGGAAATAATACCCATTCTCAAGGCTATGGCTTCTGCCTAATAAAGAACTTTCATCTCAACTTCTTGATTCATTTCACTTATTTTATTATTATTATTTTCTCCTCTGGGTGTACAGGGACATCCATGAGGATCTATGTATAGGGAGCTCTTGTGTTTTACCCAAGGAGGTCAAGGGAAATGAGAAAAGAAAGGGCACCATACACAGTCACTAAAAGCTGACACTTCTACCTTCAAAGCATAGGACTTTCCAAAGAGTTCTAGAGATATAGAGAAGATTCTGGCATTACAGGGGGCTCTATGGGGGACCTCAAACCTAAGACATGCCCTTCAGGCTAATGCTTTGATCCACTCCCTAACAACTAGTCAAAATATAATGTGCTCCATTTAAGACATAATACTTGCTCAAGACAATATTTAGTTTTCTTTTTTTCTTTTTTTCCCTAAATCTCTTGCCTCTACATTGTAACCCCTAATACTAGACTCCATCAGGTGTCCTTGCTTTCAGAAATATATGGGGGAGATAAGAGATCAACCAAAGGACTTGTATGCATGCACATAAATATAACCAATGGACACAAAACTCTGGGGAGGGAGGGCATGTATGGGAATTGGGGGGGGGGAGGCAATGGTAAGATATGTACACATATAATAATTTAATTAAAAAATAATTGCTCACATGTAAAAAGAAAGAAAGAAAGAAAGAAAGAAAGAAAGAAAGAAAGAAAGAAAGAAAGAAAGAAAGAAACTACCTCTTTCACTTGCCCCAGAACCTCCAAAACCTCCACACCTCCACACCTCCACACCTCCAAAACCCCACACCTCCTTCAGGCAAAGTTTAATGCTTGAATATCACTTGTGACCATATTTGACACTGGCTTCAATAAACTTTACAAAATTGCCTAAGGGAATCTTTTCAACCCCCTCCACATTTTTCATTTTTCTTGTCTATCACACTCATTCTCTATGCTGTATAAACATTTCTGCCTATTTAGTACTATCCCACATGAGTACTGTGCTTAAAGTTATGCTACAGGCAGTGAGGAAATATTTATTAAATGAAATAAATCAATGAGTAGGTAATTATTCCTTGTGTTAGAAGTTCTGGGACCAGAGGATAATCTGAACAACAGACCAATGCACAGAGTTTTTTGAGTGTTAATGATACAATATATAATGTGGAAGCACTTAGGGAAGTAAAGCACTGATCAGACATTTGTTTTCTGATCATAGCTAGTAAAATATCTCTGAAGGATTTCTAGACATTCTAACTTGTACACATTTCCTTAATTCTATATAATTTCTTATTAATTAATTTTAGACTTTACTACCAACAATAGAGCCTGTTGCTTCCTTTTGTATGAAAGTATTTTTCATAATTACTCTGTGTATATTATCAGGGTATAGACAACACATTACAGTTTATGGTTTTACCATTATATTTTGAATTGCCTGAGGGCAGACATTTTTATATATTTTTTTAATTTTTCTTCTTAGATCATTGTACATACTAGACACTTGGCACTGTTTATATCTGCATAGGGTATTTAACAGCCATGACTCAGAGTCACCCCAGGAGGTGCTGGGGAGATTATTTCCACATCCTTCATCACAGAAAAGTTCTTGTAAGAATCAAATATTCAGAGAAGAAGAGAGACTTTCAGAGAAATTGAAAAAGAGTAAAAGAAATTGTGGGTGTCATAGTCTCAAAGAAGTAAAAAAAAAAAAAAAGTATCCTTTTTTCCTCCAAATGATCATAAAAAGAACAAAAATACAAAAAGCTTACTATACCCTCTTTTGTTCCTTCACCTCTGGAACTAATCAATGAATCTAGACAAGAAATTGGGCCTAAAATTTCAATACTGAAATTAAAAATATGTCTTAAAAATGAGTTAAACTATCATATTTCTAAACTACCTTGTGTTTATATTCTTTGTTTCTATGAATTATGTTCTTTCTGGAGTATTTTCACTTCATTTCATTTTGAGAGTATGCTAAACAGAAGTAACCAAGAGATTGTGCATGTGAGAGAAAAAAGCAAAAAGTCACTGTGCTTGACTGAGGAAAATAGAGATTAGATTGCCAGGATGGTCTTCTTGTGGGGAATTTAGAATTGGACACTAGAGCATATACAAAAGTGTTGGGTACAATTTTTAAAACAAATGGATAAAGCACCCATGTATTTCTGGATGAGTGTCACTATTCTCTTGAAGAAAGTTAATACTTATCTTCTTCTTTTTGAAAAATATATTTTATTAATTTTTACAAAGAGGAAGGGTTAGGGATAGAGAGTTAGAAACACTGATGGGAGAGAAACATTAATCAGCTGCTTCCTGCACACCTCCCACAACCAACCTACATGCCTTTGACTGGAATCTAACCTGGGACCCTTTAGTCTGCAGGCTCTATCCACTGAGCAAAACTGGCCAGAGCTTAGTATTTATCTTCTTAATCATGCTCAGGTTAGACCCATTCTGGGACAAAGCATTAGGATCTAGGTTAACTTGACAGAATGAATTAAATGAAAAATGCTTCTGTTTTGGAGAGGTGTGTGTGTGTGTGTGTGTGTGTGTGTGTGTGTGTGTGTGTATGTGTGTGTTTAGTGTTCAGTGGGTATGGAGTCGAAGTAAAGCAGACTTCCTATAGTACCTCTTCCCAGGATAGACAGAAGCTCACAACAGTAATGTTGTCAGTGGGGCTAGGAAGGTTCCCAGAACCTTTCAATGCTGATCTGGATTTGAACCTGAGGCTCCGAACACATTTATTATTATTTACACATTTTCAATTTTGTCTGGTATGTCCCTGAGCTTTTGATATCTTAGTATAACTTTGCAGCCTTATCCTTGGAGGGTTATGGGTAATAAAAGGAAAAGTGTGTTTCACTCTGTAGTCATATGAAGTAGAAATAGTGAGAGAAAGCAGCAAGCAACTTCTGTCCTGAAACCAGAAAGACAGAGACTACAGCCACTGCTGGTACCAGAGTGACACTTAGATCATTTATGGCCAAAGAAGACTTAAGAAAGAAGACTTCTGTTACATATTTTTTTTTGCCAGTGATGGCAAAGGAGAGAAAAAGGTGATTCTAGACCTCAGGGCACCTGAATCAGGAGAAGAGTCTAAGGTAGAAGATACATGGACATAGGAAGTAGTGATGATGAAAATTAGGAAAAATAACTATCAGGCCCTCAGGGAACCCAAAGATCCTGTGCTCAGCTCAGAACTACTTGCTAATTTATACCTTTTTATTGTATCTTTTAATAAATAGAAGGATTTTACACTTTTTTTTTCCCTCCAGCCAGAGAAGTTAACATAATTTATTACATGAGAAAAAGGAGCTCCAAGGGTTATATGGGTGGGGCAGGGCATGGGTATTAGGAAAGCTGTAGAGATAAAAGAGTAAGTTTTAGTAAAAGAAGGCTTAAACAAATAAAACATACAGAGAAAATGGGATTATGGGCGATAAATTTACATCAGAGAAATGATTATACACACAGAATTCTTAGTGGCTGAAGGAAAAAATAACAAGCGCTAAGGCAGGAATGCCTTTCCACTTTCCCACCCCTTCTTTTAAGTCACAGAGCACTTCTTTGTTCTCTCAGGTATTTCCCCAGATCAGTCCAGGAAGAAAAAAATCTGTGTCCCCGGTTAGTATTTTAACATATTGTCCCCTCAGTGTTATTAACAATTTGGGGTTGTAATTGATTTTTGACTTATTTGTATGATATGTCTTACAACACTGAGAGACTTCTAAATTTCTATCTGTGAATTCCCAAATCTAAGAAGACAACTATTTCACAGAACATTCCTGATTTATGTTTATTCTACTTTTTAATCATCATTTATTTGGTTATATGATTTTTTTTTTTTTAATCAAAGAAGTAGATACTTTCTTACCAGGAGGATTTAATCGAAACCATATAAAGAAAGATATACTTAGAACTGGAGTAAGTTCTAACTTGTTATCTATTTTGTCCTTATAAATATGTGTACTCCAAAGACAGGCATGAACCATCCATATATTCTTAAGGTGAACTTTCTGGATCTCAGATTCTTCGTTGGACCAATAAGAAAATGAAGAAGGCAATCTCCAAGACATTACCAGGCTGTGATTCTAAAAATTATATAAGCAGATTTTTTTAAGGAGGATGATTTTTTTAAGTGGCAATTTGTACTCCTGGATGGGGCATGGAGATGCCTAGAGAGAGGGCTGAGGGTCTAAAGTCAGATTCCCAAGCCAGTGCCAGAAATGGTAAGGACAGGATAGCTGTCATCGTTGAATCCTCACCCTGCAGAACCACACCCTGGCCTGGGCCAATAAGCTCACAGGAGCTGAGAGGGCAGAGGCCAGGGCTGGCCATAAAAGGAAGAGCAGAGTTAGCTGGTGCTTACACTTGCTTCTGACACCACCGTGTTCACTAGCAACTACACAAACAGCCACCATGGTGCATCTGACCGCTGATGAGAAGAATGCCGTTACTGGCCTGTGGAGCAAGGTGAAAGTTGATGACGTTGGTGGTGAGGCCCTGGGCAGGTGAGTTTCCAGGCATAAGGAGGGTGAGGGAAGCTGGGTGTGTGAGTTTCTGACAGGCACTGACTCCCTCTGGCCTCTGTGCTGCAATCACCCCTCAGGCTGCTGGTGGTCTACCCCTGGACTCAGAGGTTCTTTGACTCCTTTGGGGACCTGTCCAATGCCGGCGCTGTGATGGGCAATGCTAAGGTGAAGGCCCATGGCAAGAAAGTGCTGGACGCCTTCGCTGAGGGTCTGAAGAATGTTGACAACCTCAAGGGCACCTTTGCTAAGCTGAGTGAGCTGCATTGTGACAAGCTGCACGTGGATCCTGAGAACTTCAGGGTGAGTCTCTAGGACACTCAATGTTCTCTTTCCTTTCCATGGTCAAGCTCATGTCAAGGTGGGAGGACATAAATGTCAGGATGTAATTCAGAATGGGAAAAAGGTATTCTGGTTGCATCACTCAGGATTACACAGAACCATTTCATTTTTTTGTGCCTTCTTTGCTCACAACCTTGCTTCCTCTTATTTATTCTTTTTCTTTTTCTTTTTCTTTTTTCTGCAATGTCTTCTCTTTATTTTTTGAAGTAAGTGGTTTATTGTGAGTGTTTAATTTTTACAAAAGTCTTTTTCAGTCCACTTAAAATGGCCTATACTTTCTCTCCTTTATGACTTCTTTTCAAATGTGTTATTACTGTTTTGCATGGTTCTAAAGAATAAAAGTGCCCTGGCCAGTTTAGCTCAATAGATAGATAATTGGCCTGCATACTGAAGTGTCCTGAGTTCAATTCTGGTCAAGGGTACATGCCTGGGTTATATGCTGGGCCCCCTGTGGGAGGCATACAGGAGGCAGCCAACTTAAGTTCTGGGGTAAGACAGAAAGGGAAGAATGTTATCAAGTGAAAATTCAGACTGATGTGGGTGGATTTGCATCAATAGTTACATCAGAGATCCTACTATCTTTATATTTGAAAAACACAGCTTGGAAAGAGTCTGGAATATTCTAAGTCCAAGCTAGTCCATCTGCTGACTATGACCATGCCTCTTGTGTCTTCCCCACAGCTCCTGGGCAACGTGCTGGTGGTTGTGCTGGCTCGTCACTTTGGCAAAGAATTTACCCCTCAGGTGCAGGGTGCCTTCCAGAAGCTGACTCTTGGTGTGGCCACTGCCCTGGCTCACAAGTACCACTGAGCTCCTTGTCCTGTTTTCCCAGAAACGTGCCTTTCACCCCAGAGCCTAACACCTGCACATGGGAGTTTTATGAAGGGCTTTGAGCATCTAGTTTCTGCCTAATAAAAAGCATTTATTCACACTGGACGGTGTTTTTTCATTATGTCTTCCTCTCTCACTCACATGGGTGCATAAACACATGAGGGGCTAGGTCAGACTTCAGAAAAGTATGTTTATATCTTGGGCTTAATAAAAAATAAAAAATAAAAAAAGAGGTTGTTATCAGTTAATATGTGTCCCCAGAGAAAAGGCAGGGGAGGATGGGAGGGAAGAGATCAACCAATGAACTGTATACATGTATGCATAACCCATGGACACAGACAATGGGGTGGGGTGGGCCTAGAGGGGGTGGGGAATGGGAGCAGGCTGGAAGAGGTTAATGGGGAAAAAGGAGGACCTCTGTAAGTTGGGGGTTAGAATTTTGCTGTTTTATTTATATTAATTATTTTTTAGCCTCATTTATAAATGTCTTCAGTTGTCCAGAATCTCACAGCCCTTATCTATTAAATTCTTCAGCCTAAAGATACTCCTGTCTCTCTAATTTTTTTTTCCTTGCTGTTCCCATTGTCCTTCCTCCCTACACTGTTATCTAGTTCCCTCATCACCTTATACAGATGCCTGTGGGACAGGAAGTTGGGGAAGGTCATTTCACTGCCTCTGCCCTGGAGCCTTTCACAGTCTGTATTTGGAAAAGGGGCTTGCTAATATTGTGAAAAAAAAATAGGACTGAGGGACTTTTTGTGGCTTGATATTCCCAAAATCCTGTCACAGGCTTGCACCAAAGGAATCCCAGAGTCTTCAGGGTGCTTTTGCATTCATATCCAAAAATTGACTGGAGGTCTCTTCTCTTCCTTATCTTACCTCTGATGGCTGCTCATTAGCATAGTGTTATCATCAGCAGCACACCCTAATGTTATTCCTCATTCAACAGCCCCTTAGATGGGTGCTGGCTTCTTGAAATAAAGTAAGAATTTGAAATGGTTCATGTCTCCTCTGTATCCCAAATAGTAGTCTAATATGGAAGGTATTTAAAGTAAGACATTGACAAGTGCCTATAAATTAGTGTGTAAAGAATTTAATGAGAGCAAAGGGTAAAATGAGTGATAAGGATGAGTAGATACTGGTCAGAAATAGAAGGGGGAAAAAATAGAAAGGGTGAATGGCATGTACCAAACCACTGACAAATACAGCGGTAATGTAACAGGACAATCAATGGGTCCCTGCTGCCTGTCACTACTTGAGCCAATTAAGCAGAGACAGGGTTGAATCATACATGCACGTTTATTCCAATATTGCCAGCAATATGGGAAAACAGCAGGTCATCCATAAAAACCTGCTCTGCACTCCATCATAAGCCAGCAGCTTATATTGGGTAAAAGGACAAAGATTGCATGCGGAACTATCCAAAGGGTATGCCGAATGGGCAGTTAACACAGGTAAGCAGGGGGGCTGGGGCTCTTTAAAGGGTTTAGTGATATGCAGAAAGGACAGAGGTCTTCAAAGGGCTGGCGATTCTGGTTTCTGCAGCAAAATTATTAATCTTTCCATGATAATATAGATGAGTATGGGCTGAATTTCCAGGTGAGCTCCCAGGTCCAGAGTGAAGCTGCCAACTAGGTTAAAATGTGCCTTCTTCAATCAGAATAAAACAACCACCGTTAATAGAGCATGTTCAGTAGTTCTTATAATTCTAGCAGGTTCCCCAACATTCCATTTCTGTCCATATTAGTGGCATGCTTGATATTCTGATAAGTTCAAGTAAGAAGGAAAGAACTGAAACAAAACTGCCTCTTGGTAGATAGGTTAAGGAAGGACAGGACAGGGCAGGATAAGATAGAACAGAATAAACTAAAATATGAATATAAACTTTGGTGAACACTGTAGAGGACACATTTAAAGTTAGAAATTTATAAATAAAAGAATGCAATCTAACCACTCTGCATATGAGATGCTTGTACAACAAATTGACAAGTGAGATAAAATGGAATAGCAGTTTAGAACATAAACTTTGAAATCAAGCAGCCTGGATTAAAAACAACATTACCATTTCACATATACTGCCTGAACCTCATTTTTCTTTTCTATAAAATATCTAAATGAACATATGTTTTATGGTGTGGCTGTAAAGGATTAAATGAGATAAGGCATACAAAAAAGTTTATTGCAACACTGACACTTCACAGTCCTGATACATGTCTTAGCAAATATAATCTAATAGTGTTTTGTTAAAATTATTATGAACAATAAGAGTAGAAGAGGTGTCATTAATTAATAATCATTATGATGCCTAAAAGAGCCGTCTCATGAAACAGAAAACCAGAACAAGAAATATTATTGCTTACCTAGCACCATTCATATTCCCCAAACTCTTATATTCAGGAATCTGTGTGATTTGTTTCTTATTGAACAGACCAGAGTATCAGCTTCAATTAGGAGGCTAAAACCACACTGAAATTTGAAAAGAAACATTTAATGATAAGGAATTGTTAAATATAACCAGAAATTGGAGAAATTGAAGATTAGTCAATAAGGAGTAAAGATGATTCTAAAAATATAAGAAGAGAAGACATAGGAATCTGTGTTAACCATGTTAGAGACAGCACAGTCACTGCTCCTAATTCTTATGTAGAGCAATGAATTAAGAAACAATCTGGGGGAGGTAGTTCTCCTGGGACTGATAAGCAAAGCTCTCGAGAAAGAGCATTCCCAGAAAGTTAAACAATTTTTGAGGCTGCAAAGTTGCCTAAAGGAAGATGCATAAGAAGCTACTTACTAAGAATTTGCTCCATGGGGTGTCAGTGGAAGTCACCCACATAAATTAACTGAACCTCAGATCTTTCTATAAAACTGAGGATTTTCATGGGAAAATTCCGGAATAATAGCACCCCACTGCAAAGCTATCCATGGGGAATAAAAAGGGGAGCCGCTCACAGAAGGTGCTATCCTGAAATGTTCTGCTGCAAAGCCATGTGTACTGCTAGAGGCTGGCACCAAAGGGGCTGAGTGCTTTGCCATAGTCTGGTGCTGCAGAGACAGAGATTTTTGCAGGATCCTGACTAAAGGATCACAACAGAACTAGGAAGAGAATCCCCTTCTTCTAGGGCCTCGCCAGCACAACTTATAATCATTGTCAACTGGAATTTTTAAGAGTCTACCTCCATTATCACAGAAGAGTCCATTAAGAGTGAGATTTGTAATTGAGAGGCAATCCATTGATAACTGACACCCTTGCATGAGGTAGGTGCTTGACAGTAAAGTGCATAGGTTAAAAAAAAAAAAAAAAAGCAAATAATAAAGCAGTATATAGAGGCTTATGAAATCAACAACAGCAGTAGGGCAGACTCACCACTGTTTGGATGAATTGTTTTTCCTCTGTATACATATGATAGACTTTATTCAACTTGTTCAGATGCTGGGCAAAGAAGAAAATCTTGTTTGCATTCATATATAGAAACAGAAAGAGTATTTGGATTACTACCCCCTTTTTTTTTGTTTTGTTTTGTTTTGTTTCCATAATGAACATGGTGATGATAATTCTGAATTTCAGGTACACAGTTGGGTTCATTATACTTTTCTGCATAGCAAATTTTCAGCACTACTCTAGAAAAGTTTTCTTTTCATTAATTTTCCCTTTTTTTTGGCATTCTTCCATTGCTATCCCTTTTTATGTAGTTAAGAACTATTCGGCAGCCAAATAATTTAACGGATGACACCTCACTAAAAATGATGTACAGTTCCAGTCAAGATAGCAGTGTATAGGAAACTTCCTATAACCACATCAAAATTACAACTAAACTACAGAATAACCATCATTCTGAACCACCTGAAACCTAGCTGAACAGAACTCTTATAACCAAGAATATGTGGAAGAAGCCACACAAAGGGGGCAGAAATACAAAATTGGCTGGTTCTATTCCCATATATATTGGTTAAAAATTGGGGGGGGGGGGGGGGGAGGTTCCCTTTAGGAGTAAGAAGCTTCAGCCCCACACCAGAAACCCCTGCCCAGTGTTTCTGTGTTGGGAAAAGAAGCCCTGATAACTTCTGGATATAGACACTAATGGAGATTGTAGCTGAATGAGGAGGAGGACTTCTGGAGCCCCAGATATTCCTCTTAAAGGGTCAATGCACTAATTTGCTGCAATTCACTCACTCTTAGGCCCTGCACTGGGGCAGCAGCTTTAAAGGCATTGGGAGCACGTGGGGAGGAAATAAATTTTCTGGCATCAGGGTATGGGATGGAGGGGCACCTTTTTCCAGGTAGAGTACTGGCAGAAGCCATTGTACCTTTGCTGAGCTCCCCCACCACAGAGCTGGGAGGCAGATGACATGGCTGAGTCTAAATCAACATGGCTAACACTGTTCACCCTGCCCTGGTGATTCCTTGAAGCCCCACCCCACCCAACTTGTGGGCCCAAAGGCCTTTCTGGGCTCTTGCAGCCAACTTTCCCAAAAATCTCTCAAATAAGCAAAATCTGGCCTCTGTGTGCCCCATACCTTTCCCTAAGCCCCATTCTCTGCAATAGCAACAGCTAGCCCTGGTTAAGAGCTTGGCCTTTCCCAAATCCAGCACAAGTAGCAACCATCTGCAGATCACTTTGGAGCTCATGGAAGGTGGCCCCAAGAGAGACACAGGCAAGTTGCTGATCTTTGCCTGTACTTCCTGGGAGACTCTAGAACCAACACACCTGGTGAATAGCTTCAGATAATGTGGAAGCACCACCCAATTACCTCCCTGAACAACACACTTAAGGGGTGGACAGGGTGGGTATCTGTGCTCCACTGAATTGTATTCTGTTCCATGGGGTCAACCCCTGCAAAACAGATCCTCCATGGTAATAGCCTATCAGCATGATATAAATCCTTGCCATTGATGTGGCAAATGCAATCAAGGCTCAACTACAGCAAGAGGGTGCACATGTGGGGTGGACCTGAAGTGCCCATAGCTCACATGTGGGGTG